CAGGTTTACCCTGAAACCCATTCAAATATTACATTTTCTCCATAGCTCAAAGTATTGAAAAACCATTATGTCATCACAATTTCCTATAACCTATGCAAATGACTTGCTATATGAAGCCACCTCGCAACTAAACCTTTTACCCCCTATCTCTCCAATTCCTTTCCATACGGACCCTACCGCCTTCCCCTCCCTACAGGCACTATGAATATAATGGATTTATCATATATATAAATATATATGATATTTTATTTACATATCATAAATATATATGAAAAGACTATATATATATATTATATATGTACTGCGTATGTAAAACTGGTGTCAATTAGCAAGAACTCATTTATAATTAAATTCCTTCTAAATTTTCTCTTATACGTTTAAAGATATATTTTTTTCATTAATGTTAATGTAAAAAATTTTAATTTTGCACCAAAAGAATCTTAGAAAACTTACCTAACCTTATTATAACAAGAGCAATTTATTTTAGCCTCACCCAACTAAATATATTTTAGATTTGTTTACAGTAATTTAATACTAAACAAACACAGAGAAATACATTTTTTTCGTTAGGTTCAGAATGATTTTGGCGAAATTATTGCATACACAAATTTTCACTTGTCCTATATGGCAAGATGAACGCTTGCTATATAAGCCTACACACTGCACTTACCTTCATATGCCCTCCATTGATCTTCATACATTTCACATCTCGCATAACGAACTGTGTTCGAGCTGGTCCCCCCTCACAGGCACTCCGGGCACTCGTCTGGCCTTTCACGCCACTCTGATGACCAATAAATATGATGCTTCTACGCATAGAAGCTTGGAGGAGGAAGAGGAGGACCCAGTAAATGAATTTCATGTCATGTAGCATGCGGTAGGCTGAAAGATCTGGCTCTCTTCATATTAGTACCGTCGTGCAATGAAGAATCATGATGCGCAACATGCATCCGAGAGCACGGCGATAGAATATCGTTTTATTTCTAATCAAAGTATTTATTGGCGTTCCCATTATTCTATAATTATGTAAGATTTCATTTTATTCTGTCGCAATGAGCATTGCATACAATAATTTCTGTGAGCCTTAGCATCGAACTTTCTTTTGTTAACCCTGCGAGTACTGTGGGTAGGGTGTTTGCAAGAAAGGTGATACCGGAGTGTATCCAGCTGTTCGTGCTTATAGACGGTTCGGATATCGGAGGACAACCGAAAATGTAGAAGCTTTACCTAACATTAAGAATATTTTAAAATAATTCTTCTTATACATCACATAATTTTGAGACTACAGAACACTATAGAAAGAGCTAGATAAATTCTCAAATATTTTGTGTCGTGATAATCATTTTCTCCAGAACAGAAAGCCGAGGTCAGTGAATGGCTAGCAGGCGATGATCTTGAGAGGCTAGCAAGCGATGATCTTGAGAGGCTAGCAAGCGATGATCTTGAGAGGCTAGCAGCGATGATCTTGAGAGGCTAGCAGAGCGATGATCTTGAGAGGCTAGCAAGCGATGATCTTGAGAGGCTAGCAAGCGATGATCTTGAGAGGCTAGCAAGCGATGATCTTGAGAGGCTAGCAAGCGATGATCTTGAGAGGCTAGCAGGCGATGATCTTGAGAGGCTAGCAGGCGATGATCTTGAGAGGCTAGCAGGCGATGATCTTGAGAGGCTAGCAGGCGATGATCTTGAGAGGCTAGCAGGCGATGATCTTGAGAGGCTAGCAAGCGATGATCTTGAGAGGCTAGCAAGCGATGATCTTGAGAGGCTAGCAAGCGATGATCTTGAGAGGCTAGCAGGCGATGATCTTGAGAGGCTAGCAGGCGATGATCTTGAGAGGCTAGCAGGCGATGATCTTGAGAGGCTAGCAGGCGATGATCTTGAGAGGCTAGCAGGCGATGATCTTGAGAGCAGCAGGCGATGATCTGAGAGGCTAGCAGGCGATGATCTTGAGAGGCAGGCAGCGGATGATCTTGAGAGGCTAGCAGGCGATGATCTTGAGAGGCTAGCAGGCGATGATCTTGAGAGGCTAGGCAGCGATGATCTGAGAGGCTAGCAGGCATGATCGGAGGCTAGCAGCGTGATCTGAGAGGCTAGCAGGCGATGATCTTGAGAGGCTAGCAGGCGATGATCTTGAGAGGCTAGCAGGCGATGATCTTGAGAGGCTAGCACGCGATGATCCTGAGAGGCTAGCAGGCGATGATCTTGAGAGGCTAGCAGGCGATGATCTTGAGAGGCTAGCAGGCGATGATCCTGAGAGGCTAGCAGGCGATGATCCAGAGAGGCTAGCAGGCGATGATCCTGAGAGGCTAGCAGGCGATGATCTTGAGAGGCTAGCAGGCGATGATCTGAGAGGCTACCACGCGATGATCTTGAGATCAGTCGGCCAAGTAGTCTGATTGGACTGTGAATGTTCTAAGCTCCCTGGGCGCCCTGCGACATAAGCTCTTGAAGTTTCCAGTGCGCCAAATCCTGTGAGAGGCCAGTATACCAACACCCTCGAATGGCCAGTAAACCAGACTCTGAGTGGCCAGTAAACTTCACTCTGCGTGGTCTGTAACGCTAGTGTTATGAGTGTGTTAACAGATCATGAGAGTGGATAAAATCACCAGTAATTAGATACCAAAATCATTTTAAAAAAAGAAATTATGAGCAAATCTTTTCCATTAGGGCGAGACTGGATAATGGAGAAAGAAAAAAGGTTTGTAACGCCTAAGGCAACAATAGCTGTTAACACGTTGATATTAAAAGGCATCTCACTTACGACTACACGTAGCAGTCTCGACGTAACAAGCAAAGAAAAGCAAAGCAGAGTATTTATGAATATACCCACACGAGGGGAAAAGGAGATATATTTGCATATATGTAAAAGAGTAAGAAAACTTGTTTTTACTGCATATTGAACTTTCACAGTAGTTTGAAACTTTTTTTTAGTATATCTGAAATTTTAATTCCATTATTTACATAAATAACAAAAGCACAAGTCATACTGTTTCGACGAATATATTGTCCAACTGAAAATCGTAAATAAGTTTGTGATACCCGTAATTAATCCAAGAAGTGATCAACAATATGCAGGATGAACAGTTACTGGGCATCGATTAGTGGAAGGAGGCTCGAGCCTACGCTCTAAGTGGTTAATAACCATCACTCCTTCAATAAAAATCAAATACAATACAAAATAGTAATTAATATAAAAAATGATTATAATCACAAGTATAATATTTAAAAGGGGTGGACCGGTAAGCCAGCAGAAGGCCTCGGTCGAATGACCAAAAGTCAAACTGGAAGGTCGTCATATGACTAAGACCAGCAACAGAAAACGTATTAACCTCACAATAACATCATTATAAATAAGTAATTCTAAGTCATCGCTAAATAACATTGAAACATCTTACACAATATAATTATATTTACAAACAAATTATATTAAAAGGACGTGCAGTTATAATTTCACGAATTATTTAACTTAATTCGTGTAATTATCCTATTAACGTATTATATAAATTTATAATTCGAAGTATTCTGTATTTCTTTTAGTGAAATTTATTATTATTAATTATTATTATCATCACCAAAGCTAAGCGTTAAACCCACAAGGGTCTACAGCGCTGACTTTTAGAATTTTTTTTTTCTTTTAATGAACAATTTTTTTTATCATTTAAGTGTTAAAAAATAAGAAACTGCATTCAGGTAATTAGTTTAGCTATTTTTTGGTAAGAATAACTTAATTTTCGAATTTTTTCGATATTTTTTTTTTCTCCGCGCGCCGAAATGTTAAGGGCCCCTTAATCCTTTCGGAAAAAAAACTAAAGCTATAGTTTATTCCTTTCACCGTGAATGAATTTGTTTTAATCCATAATTTAAGGAATAAATTATTCCTGATTAGTGGTGAACAAATGAAATGCGGCCCTAATAACCTTTAGAGTACTCAGTAAGCTTTAAACCGAATCTAATCCTTTCGTAGCGGAAACATACATTTAATCAGCTGTTTAATCAATAGAGGTAACTTTTACTTTAGCGAATAAATTCACATGTAACATAGATATACACTTGATTAAATTCGCAGGTCGCAGAGATATATATGCACTCACTGTTACCAGGTTGATAATCAGTACAGACTTGCATTCCAGTGATTGTGAAGGTTATAGACAGCACCAACATACACTCAAACACTCGATTAATTGAACAGATACTCGGGCAACCCCATAAGAAACAAAATCATACACACAAGCGATTGTTTACCTTATTAACTGCAGACACACTCACTCAAGACATTGCTAGATTCGTAAATAATGCAGAAGTTTATCCCAGTTACTCCTGAATCCATAAGTAACAGATAATTTCAAGCAACGAGACATCAAAAAATGGCAGGAATCTCGAGGCACTCACTTAAAAAATCAATTAATGGTTTTCTAATGTGTTGACTGCGGCTGTTGGCACGCAGAGCACACAAAGTTTGAGTTAACAGATAATCGATAGTCTCAAAGGAGAGGATTTTTTTTAACATAAAAACATAAAGGGCATTTAGGATGTATGTCAAGGATTCTTTTATCCCAATAAAATGTTTCAACAGCTCAGTAAAAATATTTATGTCCATTTGTTAATGTAAAAAAAAAAAAATTCTACTAAAACAACCTTAGAAAACTTACCTAACCTTACTATAACAAAATTTTGAATTTTTATAACATGAATAAAAATATTATCTTTATATATATTATATAATATATATATATATATATATATATATATATATATATATATATATATATAATATATATATATATATTATATATATATTATATAATATATATATAGAACATGATTCACAACATTGTTTCCTGCATTTTTTAAATTAGATAATCAATGCAATTGTGAACTATAATTTAGAGAAAATTACAGATAATCTATAATTACTGCTAAGCTTATGTTTTTAATGGACTATAGATGAATAATAGCAGTTGTTAAATGCAGGGATTCTGAACCAAACACCAGCCCACACTTACCAACAACCTGGAGGTGGATGGAGCGGATCAGGGGTGGATGTGTTGACACTTGGCACTGATAGCTGCCCTCGTCCCGACGCTGTACGTAGCGAATACGAAGTCGCCAGTCACTGGGCTGCTCGAATGTCAACGCGAACCTGAGAGCAGACACATGGGCGGTGGGTGATTGTTTAGGGAAGTCAGGGTTTACAGCCCTTGTATGATGGTTTAGGGAGAGTGAATGGTGGATTTGGACTTATGGGCAGTGGTTTAGGGTGTGAAGTGTTGTAATGGGAGAGGAATTCTGGCCTACTGTTATTGGGTGGCAATATTCATATCAATATTGATTGCTGTCAAGTCATTTGTAATTGTTGCTACGTACACGTGTTAGTCATCAGTAATCGTTGCTATGTACATACGGATATTAGAATAGCTGATTGTTTTCAGAGATACTTCAGTTAATGAAGAACTTGATCAACCGGCAGAAAATCATGATGAGTAAGTTGTATATTGTAAGCAAATGTTTTGCGATTATACATTAAACGCACCTTACCTCTCGACATCATTTTGCGCATCTTCAGTGCAGAAGCTTAAAGAATGAAAGTTGCATCACCAAATGTAACTAAATATATAATAAAACCTTATCCAATGTTTATCTTACCACATTAATTGTTTTTTTACCAGATGTAAGGAAATTAATAGAAAACGGCAACGAAGTGGTTAACGTAAATACAATATGCACGAATCTCCACGATAAACGTTCATGGTGTGAAACTGGGTTGTTACTTCAGGATATACTGTATTTCATGCCTTCAGCGCAACTACCAATACTTCAGACATCTGTCGTACAAAGAGGGTACCTCTGGAATTCTCTAAAGCGGCCATGATTCACTTTCAAGTCAGCACAGAGACTTATCACTTCAGTACGGCGATAAACTACCAAGTGTTGCTGACAGCTTTATGAGTTAGTTGGCTGTCTTATAAATTTCGATCAGTACAGCTGAACAAATGGGTGTTCGATCACTACTACTGTGCACTGCGACCGCCAGACAAGCAACTCTCAACTTGTCGACACTCGACCGCACTTCTACATACCCCAGGTACCGCACCAACACACAAATGTTTGTAAGAACGCACGAGTCGCAATGCTTATAACCAGCTGTAAAGTACAGCGCTCAAACAAAACCAAAAGGCAATCGCTGACTCAATCTCTTGGCCGCTGCTGTGTGTGGGTGTTATGTAAACAACGGCTACTTTGGCCACAATTCGCTCGGTAATGCAGGTTCATCCTCGACACTACCGCTTGCCAATCTGCGGCAGTGCTGTTAGCAGCAGTTGCAGCAACATTGGTGGTCGTCGTGGAGTGAGGCAGGAAGTCTCAATGGTTATATAAAGTCAGTGATGATTTAAATATGTCAGAAGAACGTAATGTTAGAATTTTCACTGACTTTCAAGAGAGAGAGGAGAGTCGGTCAGGCAACCACCTCCCTTTCTTTATCTCAAGTGGGGATGCTAACGGTCACTTTGACACTGGTGTCAGGTACTCATCCCTAGTGGAATGGTGGAGAAGCTGGTGGAATCAAATTCCACCGCCATTCGGGGGCGGGGGATGGGGGATCGTGATCGGAGAACGCGATCATCACTCGGCACACTTCTGGTCTCACACTGTCCCCAGGGCAGCGTCATTGTGTTCACGATACTTAACTATGACAAATATCACTAACAGCTGACAATACACGTAATTGTCTCGCGAAAGCGGCTTACTCAGTGCACAACACAAGTGATCAGATGCTCGGTGTGATGGTTCCCAAGCGTCATCTAATATTACTCCTGAGTGAGCAGTGTGATTTCGAGTATTAACATCAATTAACACATTGTTTAACTCCCAGTCTATGTGACTGGAGCGCCATCACTGGCGAGACCCACAGACTAGTACTTCGTGATGACTTCTGTCACCAGTGTAACTGGCTATACTATCACTATGTGATGGTGACATCAGTCAGTCACAGAAAAGTGTCAACACTTGCTCTCTGTGACTGGAGTGCCTTCACCAACGAGACTCGCACGATGTGGCTGACGTCTTTACTCACTAGTCACAGCGAAGTAACAGCACCCGCTATGTATGTGACTGGTGGGTCACACCACCAATGACAGTCGGGTAACTGTTAAGTCCTCTACTCTGAACTGTGATCAACTGTCATACGTGTTACCTCGCTCTGACCACCATCAAACAATAAACTGCCTCCTGGGGCATCTAGTCTAGACCAGCATTAGGAGGCTTCTGGTTAGGTGACTCAAACACTTTGTATAATACTGACAGGTCTAAGCATGAGTCAGGTCGAACTCTAAGCACATAGCTTCTCAGACAACTAACTTTTCAATATAGCTCACACTTACGCAATGTATAGCTTAGCACAGACCTCCAGTGTGTGCAAGCCGGGCTGAGCTGTGAGCATTGCTGAGTGACGACTGTTTATTAACATGTGCATCAGGAATTGAAATCAGCATGCTCTACTTTGTTAGTCAGCGAACAAGCCGAAGGAAGCTCTGGCTTAGCACTCAGCTTATGACTAGACCGCAGGCCAGATGTCAAGAGAGAGTACTTCACTAGATTGCCACAAGTTATCAAAAGACATAAGAATTGACACTCCCTGTGAGTGATGACATAAATCATGGGACCTATACTGCCATCTAACCCATTAATGACACTAATTAGCCAACAGACTATTACTAGGGTAACAATGGACCCAGTCTGTTGACACCTTCCAGGCGAGATATGTGGGTCAGTGGATGCACAGTGAACTAATGTGATCAGGAGGGTTTGTAGACAAACCGCCTGGGTTGGGGGCCTAACTCGCTCATCTGCCCAAACAGCCTTGGGTGTCCAGCACAGCACTGCCACGTCATGAGAAACGCCTAAAGGTATGGATGGGTGACTCCATCACTAGGCTAATCGCTTAACATCCACGTCTTGGATAGGCCTCCCTCACCAACTACAAGAAGTGCGGGGTGACTACCCATCTAATGTGACTTCCCCATCCATCCAGAGACAGGGCACGCTCATATTGGCGTGCTTCGTTGTCCACACATTCTGTAAATAACAGCAAATTACGCAGAGATGTCTGACAATACTGAAACCCTACCTAATTCACACAGATACTTTATAAGTGGTATGCACTGTTCACTAGTTCGTTGGTCAACTTCGTGGAATCACTTACTGGTTCATGAACCCTCCTGGGTTAATGGAACCTTATGGTCAAAACGACTATAATCACCGGTTCACCAATGTCCGGTACAGACACGGACATAAATGTGGAACCACACTGGTTCATAATACCACATACTACTTCGTAGAACCACTCCAGCTTATAGACCACATCCGGTTCAAACGACCACTATTGTTGATAATTAAAGGATACTACATTGACACTAATTACACACGAGTCGAGTTCACTTAAATTATTATTATACTCAAAAAGAAGCGCTAAACCTACTAGGATGAGTTCACTTAAACCCCAGCCATCACAGGCCTAAAACATATAAACTGTCTCAACAGGGCTGTATTACTGCAAAGCATACGAATCACTTACTAGTTTTATGTATCTGCTGACACCTGGTGCCTGACCCATTATCCGTTTCATGAAATGCACGCCTCGTGAATTCCCAACATGGCTGACACTATGATTTTGCTGTTTCCCAGTAATCAAATACCACTCTGCCTATGCTAGGTCTCTACCTATCTTGAATGAAATTATGGATTACAGTCTAGACTCGACAAGGTTGTAAGCTGATAAGCCATTGGCGGCACTAGGGAGGTCAGGTGAGACCATGTACGGGCAAGGTCACAAGATCACGTTCACTTCGCTTTCAGTAGTCATACAATGGCGACCTTAACTAGCTGTTAAAGTATTGTCAAAGTTACAGGTTAGCCTCAGTGTCATGGGACGTCCCACGCCAGATGCCTCACACTTCTTACATGAAACTGGCTTCCCGTCCCTGGCTTTTCGAATCGTATGTCTGGCGTCACTTTCAGGTAAAAAAGCAAACACTTACCGAGTGTTCTAGATATGTGAGAAACTGAGAATGTCATTCAATATGAAATTCATAAATTCGAGGTGGTACACCAGATGGGTCAGTCTCGATATCTATATCAAGTTAATGATGACTTAAATATGTCAAAAGAACGTAATGTTAGAGTTTTCATGGACTCTAAAGAAAGGAGAGAGTCGGTTAGGCAACTCCTCACCTTTTCCCCCTAGTGGGGGTGTTAAGGGTCACTATGACATAGGGATAATACTCTTATCCCTAGTGGAACTGTGGAGAAGCTGGTGGAATCAAATTCCACCTAAGCATTTTTTAATCTTATGTAGATCAAATAAATATATTACATTCAGAGAAGGAACGCTAGATAAGTGAAGCGTGGATTATTTTATCTTGATAGTTTTATGTAAAGTTCGAATTAAATCACAGCAAAGTACAACAGTTGTTTCAGTGTTTTTATTTGTCTATAAATTCTCTGGTTGCCTAAGTCGAATCTGAAGTACAAGAGTGCCAATGAGATTTTAAATATTGAAGGAAGCTTTTCCTTTCTAATTCAGTGTGAGTGCGTGTGTGTGTGTAAGAGTGAGCGAGAGAGATGTAATGTGTAAGATATTCATTGGTGGCGGAGGTCGACTCGAGACCAGAAGAGATTCACAAGAGCATCTCCACTTTAAAATTTCTCTAGCAGTACCTCGCGTCCATTAGCAACTAGAACATTGCACGGCGAATCTTGCTAATGAGGGACCCACTAATGACCCCACTAGATTTACCCCTTCAGGGTGGTTCCTTGATGCTGGTGAAGGGCTCTTGATACAATGAATCAGAGATGATCCATTCCTTGATTCATACCTGATACCTCCTAGGTCTCAAACGCTGCTTGGCCCCTCTGTGGACCCGTTGCAAGTAATGAGAGACTATGTAATATGGAATTTACAAGACGTTTTGGTTCTGAATGTGATATATTCACTCCAGATTATACCTAGAAATCACCATCTGCAACTCTGACCACACAATACCTCGAGCTTTACCAAACAATGCCTGCTGTAACACCATGCAGATATGCTAAACAGGCGTAACATGTACTTTTACAACACACAAAACGTGTAATTATGTCAGA